TCTTCCCTTTCTTCACTGATTGTATTTATTCCATCTAATGTTCAGACCTTTGTACCGGGTAAAGTACAACAAAACTGAATTTCATATTCTCTTCATTTATTCATTCAACAAACAACAGTTTCAGAATAAAGACAAAAGAAAAAAAAGCAAAACTTTCAGACTGTCAAAATCAAATGGTATAAAAAAATAGGGGAAAAAAATGTGTTAACTTCATAGAAATATACAGCAACAACAAAATGCAAAAGAAATTGTTTCATGTAAAAGAAAACGAAACCATCAAAGTTCTGCTTTAATCTACTAATGCTCAATAATTCACTCCTAAATGCCCGCTTTAACCACACAACTCTGCCCAACCAAATAAAAAAAAAAAAACCACTGAAAACTTATAAAACTGAAAAAAAATATTGAAGGCTTGTTTGCTTATTGCTTTTTTTAAAGAAAAAAGTTATATATTGCACAAATACAATTAAAATTAAAGCAACATTCTGTCCTACATGATGATACTACTAGTAACTGTCATAGTAATAATAATAGTATTAATAATAATAATAATAATAATAATATAATAATAATAATAACAAAAATTTATTAAATATCATGTAGTCAAAAATGACGATATAATATATGTCAAAATAAACTGTAATTATGGCACAAAAAATATACGGTCTGTATTCAGTGCTCAAATCCTACTTAACAGGCTGGGACTAACCGTAAATATATATATATTTGATTTATTTATTTATTTATCTGTCTATTTATATATAAGCAGTTGTATACGTAAAAGTAAAAAGTACTTGAATATTCCAGATAACTGGCTTTCACTGAAGGCTCATAATCGGCACGAAAACATAACCCCCTGATCCAATTAACCAGATCTCCAAACTCCATTCATATACCGAAACTATATAATTAAAAAGGCAAAAATATGTCGAAAAAATTAGAGAAATTTATAGCTATTAATTTTTCTTATTATTTTGCATTAGAAAAATGCCCTCAATTGAAACATTAATTTTTTAAAATATTCCCACTCTTATGTTTTTTTTTGTCAACTGAAGCTGTCATTTATCATTTCGTCTTGCTGAAAAATTCTTTCTTCAAACTGAGAAGTCGGCATCAGTCGTAGTTCAGATTACCAAATTGAAAAAAATTTCAAAAAAGAAGTACCAGTATTTCTACCTAACAATAAAATCATCTGCTAAACTAAACATGGAACACTATCCCAACCTAACGAACTCTGTAGCAGCACTTTTTATTCTCGATTTATTTATTCTTTTGAACAATTTCGGCGGAATAAACTATTAAAATTCAAGAACAAAAAAAAAGAAGTAAAAGAATCAAAGGTATTGCTTAAAAAAATGAAGACACATTTTAGAAGAGTTAAAAAAGAATATCATAAAAATATTGGTGATAATAATAATAATAATAGTCTACAAATACCAACATAATTCCAAAAATGATGGAAAAACATAACCATCAGAAATAACAAAACAAAAATGAAAAAACTTAACATCTTCGCCAAATGCAGAATCGTAGCAAAGCGAAATTACACCAAAAAAGACAAAGAACTCAAACTATAGCAAGTCGTAAGAATAAAACCTTAGAAATCCGTTGTGCAGTAACGAAGAAAAAACAATGTGTGCTTCAAATAAAAGCAAATATGAAAAAGCTTATCATGACCAAGGAAACCATCGCCCTTGTTTCTTTACCAGAAATATATCTTTGATGCACACCCAAAGTAAAGTCTGCCTTTTAAAAGTTGAAACAGAATGCATCAGACGACTTGAAGAGCACACAAAACTGCTTTTAGCTTGAATTCATTGTTGTAAATCCAAAATCACTAACTAACTACAAACTAATTAAACTAAAAAAATTCTTGACGAATTGGTAGAAAAAAAATGAAAAACAAAAAGAAAATTAGTCAACTTGCCAAAAAGACAAACAATTACTGTTGTTCGGCCGTAAAAACGATTACAATTTTGCCCTTTTTCGTAACTATTGCTTTCACTTCCTTTGTACGGTATAGGCTTTTAATTTTCAGCTTAAATATGAAAATTTTTTCACTTATTCAGTAATCTTTCATGATGTTTGTCAGCAACTTTTTTAACCTACTGCCACGACACAATGTTTGTCAGAAAATATTTACAGACCTATAACTTTCAAATCTTTTCTGTAACAACCCAGCAAATTTCAAAAGAGGTCCCGAAAAACTTCGCTTATTTATCCCGCAATAAAGCCATAAACCATATTCACCTGACAATCTTTTACTTTTGTTTAATTCGCTAAAAAAGTACTCTTTCTTTTAAAGTAAGATCAGCAGTATTTGCATAAGCCTACCTATTATCCACTCAGTAATCATATAGCAGAAAGACACAATTAAGCATGACTGCAGAGCAGTATCAGTTCTTCGGAACTGTCAAAACTGCATTGCGTTGATTCGTTTACTTGCTCACCTACGCAAATCTTTAGAAAACACAGCATCATTATACACTGTGGATAGTTTATGAAAGGAAAGTATCAGACATCCCTCTTTATCCAGCAAAAATCCATTTGCGACTACTTCGTACAGCCCGTTTCTCATCACCAACAGAAATTCTTGAAATGACTTGCTAGTTGCAAAAACCCAATAAAGTATAGTGAAATGTTTGGAGTCCTTGGCTCTCGGTGAATTTATGTAGAATGTCCAGTGAATCTTTGTTTACCACTCCAACAACGTCTTCCATTGTTCATCGCTGTTCTATGACAAATATTTTACCCAAGCAGTAAACCCTCCTCATCTTGGAAAATTGTTTTCCTTGTAGTACTTTTTACACAAGTTTTACCTGTCAGCGGTAACGACTGAGACCTTATCAAATGCGCTAACGACATTCATAACCGCATTCGGAGCAACATTTCTAATTGCAAGTTTGCCAAGATAAACCAGATGTTGCAGAGTTTGACTGGCTCCAATTGTAGCTGAGAAAACAAAAGTATAAGGACGCTGCGGCTCCATTTTCAAAAAGGACGACGTTGACTATCGGCAAACAGCTAAGAACCAAGAAATATGACCTCCCAAAAAAAGAAAAAAATAAGTAGATCTGCTTATAGCAGTTGCATTTTTTAAACATAACAAACTGTTAAACTATTCTGTTGATTCGAGACTGTCCGGCATTTTCAAAGCATGATCATAAAAAAAAGTTACGGTTACCCAAAAGTGTAAATTATAAGACGAAAGAAAACACACTAGCAGCTTGAGATTACCTATAAAAACTGAAAGTTTTTCTTCACCACTATTTCAGCTCCTTGGATCAATGAAAAGACGAATTCTGTAATTCTGCAGCAAAAATTTCTTTTCTAAAAAAACTCCCGATAAATGGTTGCTACGAAACCGTCAAACTTAGAGCTCCCGCAACATAAAATACACCACTTACCTACCTATTCCAGCCCTAACAATCAACAGTTAAACAGGCCGTCTATGTAGTCTTCGAAGAAAATTAAATTCTGAGAGAAGTAGATAAAAACAAAACAGAAAAGACCGCAGCGTCCGCAAAAAAATCTTATGACGACTTGAAAAAAAATCCTTCACTCTTTTCTTCCTGAGGAACCCCAACAGCCTACACATTAGTTGGGAAAGAATAAACTGAGTGTTCGAGAAACCCTTTCAAAATATGCGAAGTTTTATGCAGAAAGTGTTCACAAATAAAAATAAGTTCTTTCAAAGACACTATTTTGTGACATCACAGTAGAGGACAATTTACAGAAAAGACGATCAAACAGGCAGAGCAAAAAAAAAAAAAAA